TGATATCCCAACTTCGGGGGATTTTAGGTCATTGAATATTAAACAAAAAATAACAAATTTATAGTCTAAAATCATGTACAAACTTTAAACTACATGTTGCAAAAAACCTCATGATAATTCGACTTCAAACGAATTAGATATGCATGTTTTAAAATTTCACAGAATACAAAAATAAAGCTGAAAAAAAAATCGCAGCTTTGATATCCCAACTTTGGGAGACTATAAATCAATGAATATGAAACCAAAAATGACAAAATTATAGTCTAAAATCATGTACAAACTCTGTACTACACTTTGGAAAAACCGCATGCTATTCCGATTTCAAACGAATTAGATATGCATGTTTTAAAACTATCACAGAATACAAAGAAAGCTGAAAAACATAAAATTTCTAACTTTGATATCCCGACTTTGAGAGACCATAAGTCAATGAATATAAACCCAAAATTGACAAAATTATAGTCAAAAATCATGTACAAACTGTAAACTACACTCTGGAAAAACCTCATGTGAATCCGACTTCAAACGAATGAGATATACGTGTTTTAAAACTATCACAAAATACAAAAAAACTGAAAAACATAAACTTCCAGCTTTGATATCCCGACTTTGAGAGACTGTAAGTCAATGAATATAAACCTAAAAATGACAAAATTATTATCTAAAATCATGTACAAACTATAAACTACATTCTGGAAAAACCTCATGTCAATCCAACTTCAAACGAATGGATTATGCATGTTTTAAAACTTTTCATAAAAATCGGTTTCGGCCCCTAAAACCGGTTCCGGTTCCTAACACGTTTCCGGTTCTTAAACCCGGTTTACCCGGACCCGAACGACCCGGGACTGGATTACCCGGAACCCGGATAGAGACATTATTTAAACCCGGTACCCGAACCGGTTTTACATATTCCGGTTCTAATGGTTCCGGTCCAGTTTCCAGTTCTAAATCTCATCCTTACTCAATGTTACTTGAAATCCATTTTCCTTATGTTATATTTTACAGTCTGATGAATTTATGGAATTTGTAGTGTTTCCTTCTAGGAAAAAGCATATCCAAATTCCATGCATAAGTCTCTCGGGTTGTTTAAATCAGGTTATTCCATCTGTAATAATCTACAACCATTATTATTACCCTTTTAACTTTTCAATAAAAAAATGGATGTTTCAAGTCTTAATAACTTATATACATTTGTTTTTAACAGAAAACCGGAAGGAGAAATATCTCACACTTCTCCAAAAAGGATGACATTCGTGACCAGACTTGCTTTGATCAAGCATGCAATGCTTCTAGATGACCGGTGATGATCTTCTTACAGCAACTCCCAAGGTAATAGCAAAGATCTTAAACTGTTAGGGATATTTCTTTCTTTATAGATCAAATCATGACTATTGTGATCTTCGACTTCCAAGGATCATTCATCTTATTATTATTTCTTCGTGATCATTTTCTGGATAGCTTTTGTAATGGTTTTGTTTTTCTCTTACAGGAAAACGACAGTTAACCTGACATTTTCAATGGGGAAGACAATTGTATGTATTTCATTCTTTAAATTGATTTATTTATCCTATTCTTTTAACTTAGTTTACACTTCTCAGTTGTGGTAGTTCTATCGAATTTTACAGCAATTGTAGTCGTTTTAAATTTGGATTTAATTTTGGGCTCTGATTGAAACCCTTAAATCTTTGTAACTATTGTTTCAGATATGCTTCGGTAATTTCTTTAAATTGAGGTATTGTCTCCCTTTTATGTTATTAACCCTTTAAATAACATGAGTTATTAACAGAACATGGATTAAAATCTGTGTATTAGGCTGGATGAGCATGTGGTATATATGATTTATCATTTAGTACCATAGGATACCAGGCCTACTGCAAGATGTACTAAAAGCAATGCCCGAGTGGAATTTTTGTCATTTATGTTCCACTTTCTCAAGAGGTTTAATGAAGGGACCATATGATTTATATACATATAGTATGAAGTTTTAAAAGTTGAGGCATCTCAAAATGAAGACAAAGTGAGACCCAATTTTGATTTGAAATCAAATAATAATAATAATTTTTTTTGTTTAGATTTGGAGTATGAAGTAGGAGAAAAACACTCATGATTTAAGATACCATGCTATGGTAATTAAGTGGTTGATTTTGAGTAATAAATTGTGGTTATTTTGAATCGGGAATCTTTGATTTGTTACTAACTGAATGTAGTGAGATTAAATTCAATTGGGCCACGCATCATTAATCCAAATAAAAAAATATTAAATTATTTATTTATTTTAATTTACCATTTGTGCTAACTAAATTACTTAATTAGTTATGTGCCTGCATGGCTTTTAATTTATTTTACAATTTGCAGTGAATCATCTTAGTCAATAATAAATCTTATGGGATGTAGTATATGGAAGAACAATTGTAACCTTGAAATGGCATAGGTATTAATTGATTAATTTATAATTGGATAGATTTGTCTAAGTATGATGTCATAATAAGAAAAGAAAACATATAGAAATTTCAACGTACAATTTCTAAATATCAAAAAAAAATTAAAATCATAATAAGATAATTTGTGATTTCAGGTTTTAGATGTACGTCTTATTATGGACCGAAACTCAAGGTGCTCAAAAGGGATTTTTTTATTACTTTAACTTTTTTCCTTATTAGCACTTTGTAGTTGAAAAACTACCATATGATAGAATTCTATGTTTGATTAGTATTTCTCTTAGGGATGCAAATAGTAGCAACGTCCTTTCATTTGTCCTTATTATGACATTCACTTTGAAAACCGAAAGTAATTGAAAGTATGATGCAAACCAATTTTTACTTATGCAATATGGTAGATTTCCCAATGTATATTGATTGTGTTGAAATGGAGAAATATGTGTGATGTAAGCCATAAACCATTGTCATCAAATATTCAAGGGAAATAACAAAACTAGAGTAGAAATCTAAAACTTACCTAAATGATTTACGAATCGAGCACTAACAAAACTAGAGTAGAAATCTAATTCGATTTCTGAAGACTAAAATAACAAAGTAACAAACAAGTTTCGAATGATTTCTGAGACAGATATATAATTTCTGAAACAAAATTTTCAAATGAACTATTGAACTCTTTCAAACTTTGAATATTTTTCTGTAATGAAGTAGAGAAGAAATAATAAGAAATCAAACTAATTTCTGAAACAAACCTAAATAAACATAGATTTCAAATAAAAAACAGTGGGGAATCAAATGGATGGTTAGAAATCAGATAGAGAATACATCAAATAGATAAGAAATAAACAAATTTCGAGATTAAACTTACCCAAAATGATTTCTGAAATATCAATATCGAGAAAAAAAATAGAGTTACAGAGGAGAAATCTGAAACAATAAAACAGCCAACGCTCAACAAGATACAATCACACCCATATCACAAAATCAAAAATTAAGAATTGATGCGTCAAAATCACTTTTCGGAATCCCTATATCTCTAACAACCAAGAATCGATTAAACAACAATACCAACATCCATTCTAACTTTTTATTTATCAGAGAGAAACAAAGACGTGTTCAAGGCTACTGCGCATTGATTTCTTCATGGACAGCAGTTTCTAGGCGCCATGGACGTTTCGTTTCTCTATGTTGCCATGTTTGCTGCCTCTCTTTCCCCTAATTTCTTTCCCGTCAATAAACACAAAGATATGGGCTTTGTTTATTGGGTCATTCTTATATATAATACTATATAATATATATGGGCTTTGTTTATTGGGTCATTCTTATATATAATACTATATAATATAGCTGGAGTTATTTGATGTCCCTTAACATTTGATGCCCTGGGCCTAAGCCCAAAACTAAAAGAAGACTAAGTAAAGACCGGTAATAACATTCCGCCCCACCCAACGCACGAAAATACTTTCTAGCTTGTATATAAATTTCACAACTATAAATACTTTATTTATGTTTATATATAAATATTAATTATATGTATCAGTGATAACTAAAGAAAAACATAAATAATATTATATCCATCCATTCAAATTGAAAAACTTGATGTTTTTAATTCAATATCGTCGATCTATATTTTTATTATTTTTTCATATTTATTTATTATTATATTTTAAAAATAAGTTATTGTTATACATGTGACTTCATCGCCTCTGATATTTCGATTGTGTCGACCAAGATACTGTAATCACCTACACCTACCGACGTCTCTTAAATCCCTTTGAAGTCCATCTCCGATCATAAAGCCATCATGTCCGACTAAGGTTCTAACTTTTATCTTCTCCTCCACCACGATTTCCGATTCTAGGGTTGTACGCAAAAATCCCACGCAGCCTTAGTTATCTCTTCTTCCCACAAATTTAATTCGAATTGAAACCCCTAGAACACCATCATCCTAAATAAACAAAGGTTCGAAGATCATCTACACACATTCAGATCGAAATCGAGCCTTAAATTTTGGGCTTTAGTTCGAAATCGAGTACAACAGGTTATAAGTTTCACCTTTTTTTTGTTTCTTGAAAATTTTAAAGTTGCTCATGCATATGAGTTTGGTTATGTTCTGTTTAGTTTGGTTTGTAGCAATGCTTAAATCAGTAATGCCTACCAAGTGCCCAATGAAATTCCTTCCATTTAGGTTTGATTTCAATTTCGATTTTCACTTTTACCAGCATCAGGTATGTTGTCTTTTAAAATTATCATATATATATACTTTCAACTAGGAAGTTAATATGGCAGAAGTGATGATGCGCTTATTTGATGTATATAGAGTCCTAATAAACCTTGAATGATATTGCAGACACGTGATGAATAATTTGATTATTAATTTCTTTAAATCTTGACTGCTTCGTGTTGTTCTTCATTTGGTAATTAAGTGTTGTTTATCGAACTTTAGAAAATGTTATTTATAATAATATTGCTCCACTAACAACGAAATGATGTATTTGCTTTTGTAAAGAAGATTCAATGCTAATTGTCATACTTGTTGAGAAATATTAATTCTAATAAAGGTCAGAATGTTGGATTGTAGAATTGTTGAGGTGCTTGGTGTGCTATTTGAGAGTGGTTATCTGATATTTTATTTAATTCATAAAAGATATTATATTTATAATATAACATTTTTAGATAACGTTTAACATACAAATTAATATAAACCATAGATATATAAATAATATATTTTGTTGACAATATCTATTTAAGAAGCATAAAAGGAAATTTATATGTAAGAAAAACTTATTAAGAAGAATAAGTTTGACGAATTAAAAAAAAAAAAAAAAAATGATGCCGCTGCCAGGAGTCGAACCTGGGAACCTCACGGAGGAAACTTTTATCCAATTGTTTTTCCACAGCGGCTTATGTTGCTCCATCCTTATATTATATATTTATATATTAAATCACATGGAGTTCGTCAACAGAAACTTTTGGGATTTAGATTTCTGCCACAAAATTTTCTAGGTTTTAAACATTTGCCACAACACTGTTGTATCCCTCCGCCTCCTTACCTCCCAGTCATAAATCCTCCACCGACTCCAAAATTTTTGCCCTCAACTACGTTTTCCCTCTTAATTTTCATTCCCACCTCTATCAACACACCACCGCCGACCTTGCCTCCCTCGGCCTTCCTCCGACGCCGTTTCCCTCTCCGATGTAGAAAAGAGTCTCCTTTGCGGAGAACCGACAGAGCGAAGATGCTTTTCTGCTTCAAATCTCGACCAGAAGACGGAGTTGTCCTTTTGAACCCCTAAATCCAGACACCAGCCACCAGTTCTCATGTCGCCAACCACCATCATCTTTTTATTTTTCTCAGAGAAGTTACGTGTGTGAATTTAGGGTATGTTAATAATTACTTATCGTTTTTTTCCATTCCAATAGGGTGTCCTGCGCCCAGGCCCGGTTTAGAGCAGGTGCAATATGGGCAATGGAACAGGGCCCAAAATTTTAAGGGGCCCAAATTTTTTTTTTTATAGTAGATCAGTCAATTCGTCAGGCCCAAACAACCCAACACCATCGGAATTTCAGAATCGGAAATCAGGCGTGAAACTTAAAGCGAATTAGCGAAGACAGCAGCAAGCGATCGATCATTGTTCAATTCATCATCGATTCATCTTGCTCGTTAAGTCGTTCTCCTTAAAAAAAAGTCCAATGCAGCAATCGTGGAATCACCGAATCAAGGCAGGGAAACGAAAGGGGCAGTGCATCAACCATCGCCCATCAGGTTAGCGACATCGACATAGGCACACAGCGTGCAATAATCAACAATCATCCTCCATTGAATATCGATACATCCGTTTCTAGGTGAGGGTCAATCACGATTAGAGTGTTAGACAATTAGAGTATTAGACAATTATCCAATCATGATTTATCTTGTATTCCTATTCATGTAATCAATTTATCAATGACAATGATTCTTCATTCTTGATTCTTGGTCCTGCTAATGTAATAGATAATGAGAAATTAAGGAATGAGGAATAAGGAATTAAGGATTATGAGTTTGTAAATTATAATTCTCAATTCAATTGCATACTTGAATCAGTTGAATACTTGAATGTATTATCAAATTTTCAAATTCTTGTGTAATTGTTTAGATAAACTGTTTAATTTTCAAATTCTTGAATGTGATTCATGAATTTTTAATTGTTTATTTGTTTATCACTATGACATATTGTCATTATGTCATATTATTATATTGAAATCTGATTGAATGATTCACAATGTTAAATGAAATCAATGAATGATTTTGAAATAGATTATTAGAATCAGAAATTAAATTATGAGATTATGTTTATTGTATAATTGTTTATTGTATAAATGAAATCAATGAATTGTTTATTGTATAATTGTTTATCAAATTATGTTTATTGTTTGTAAAATTGTAGATATGAAGTCTAAACAACCATCTGGTAGTCAAAAACGTAAAAAAAGAAAACTAGATGAAGAAAAGAGAAAGGTTGACGCCGGTGCTCTAGATAAGTTTATCCATAGACAACCTATTGAAGAACATGTTGAAGAACATATTGAAGAGCACATTGAAGAGCATGTTGAAGAGCACATTGGAGAGCATGTTGAAGAGCATGTTGAAGAGCAAGAGCATATAGAAGTAGAAGAGGCAGAAGAGCAAGAGCCCGTTAAAGAGCTTGTTGATATATGATACAAGAAGGTGGGAAAAACTTAATTCTGAGGAGATTAAACTTTTGGTCCAGAAAGGCCCTAAAAGAGATAATAGTATTATGTATGGTCCCTACGATAAATTTGGTAGACGGTTTTCTGCAGCTTTATATACAAGAACTTTACCAAATTTGGAGAAGTGTGATAGAGAATGGCTAGTATATTCAAAAGAGCTAGACAAAGTATTTTGTTTCTGTTGTAAAGTGTTTAGAAAAGGGATTTCAAAAGGTAAATTGGATGGTGATGGTTATGCAGATTGGCACCATGTCACCACTAGGGTTAAAGAACACGAAATTTCATTGGATCATCTTACAAATAGGAATAAGTGGTTTGATATGCGTAAAAGACTGAACTTAAATGAAACAATTGATAAAGTTCAATACGAGCAATTCAAGAAAGAAAGAGATTACTGGAAACAAGTCCTTTTGAGAATCATTACAGTAGTGAAATTTCTTGCTAAACATAATTTAGCATTTCGTCGATCCAATGAAAAGTTGTATCAAAAAGGTAACTATAAATTGTAATTTTTTTGTTCTAATTCATACAAATACCTTTTTGTTAATTATTATGACTGATTTCACTTCTTATTTGTTAATTTTATTTAATAGGGAACGGAAATTTTTTGGGTGTCATTGAAATGTTGGAAGAGTTTGACCCGGTTATCAAAGAGCATGTTCGGCGGATCACAAGTGATGGGCTTCATGTGCATTATCTTGGCCACTTAATCCAAAACGAACTTATATCTTTGCTAGCTCAAGAAATTAAAAAAGAACTTATCAAGAAGATAAAGGAAGCAAAGTACTACTCAATCATACTTGATTGTACTCCCGATTCAAGTCACCAGGAACAGATGACTATAATAGTGAGGTATTTAACGTTATCATATAATTCTGTTACTGTCGAGGAGTCCTTTTTAGGTTTCTTGAATGTTGATGATACCTCTGGAAAAGGACTATTTGATATTACACTTGAGGAGTTAAAGTCTCTTGGTCTTGAAATTGATGATATGCGTGGTCAAGGCTATGATAATGGAGCAAACATGAAAGGAAAACTCCAAGGGGTGCAAAAGAGATTTTTAGATATAAATCCTAGAGCATTTTACACTCCTTCTTGTTGTCATTCTCTTAATCTAACATTATGTGATATGGCTAACAAGTGTGTTAAAGGAAAGAACTTTTTTGGATTCATCCAACGCATTTATACTATCTTTGCAAATTCTACTAAGAGGTGAGAAATTTTGAAAGATAATGTTAAAGCTTGGAGTCTTAAGTCATTGTGTCAAACTCGTTGGGAAAGTCGGGTTGAGAGTGTAAAGGCTATTAAACTTCAACTTGTGGATGTACGGGAAGCTTTACTTCAAGTTGGAGAAAAAGATAATGATGCTGCAATTGCAAGTGAAGCAACTTCACTAGCAGAAAAAGAGCTTGGTGACTTTGAATTTTTGGTATCAACTGTTATTTGGTATGAAGTACTAAACCATGTGAATATTGTGAGTAAGAAGTTACAATCAAAGGATATGCATCTTGATAATGTTATTACAGAAATAAACAAATTGATTGGGTACTTCAAGAATTATAGAGAAACTGGTTTTTCAAAAGCGATTGTTGAAGCTAAGGAGATTGCTATTGAAATGGGTATTGATCCAATATTTCCACAAAAGCGTTTGATTGAAAGGAAAAGAAGGTTTGATGAGAGTTCAACTAGCGAAGAAGTTTCATTTACACCTGAAGAGAACTTTAGAGTCAATTATTTCTTATTCATTGTTGATCAAGCTATTTCTTCTCTTGAGACAAGATTTGAACAATTCAAAGAGTATGACAGAGTATTTGGTTTTTTATTTCCACATAATTTGAGGGGAATTGAAGATAAAGATCTTAAGTCGTATTGTCATCGTCTTGAAAAAGCACTCAAGTTTGAAGAAAGATCGGATATTGATGCCGATGAACTTTATATGGAGTTGAAATTATTTGAGACATTGGAAACCAATGAGTTTAGCAACCCTATAGATGTTTTGAAGTTTTTGAAAGAACTTGATTATTTCCCAAATGCAAGCATTGCATATAGAATATTGGTAACTATTCCAGTAACGGTTGCATCTGCAGAAAGGAGTTTTTCAAAATTGAAGTTTGTGAAATCTTACTTACGCTCCACAATGACACAAGAAAGACTTAGCGGTTTGGCAATGATATCTATCGAAAACGAAATCTTAGAGAGTATAGACTATGAAGAGTTGATCAACCAATTTGCAATCAAGAATGCTAGGAGAGCTTCAAGGATCGTCGGTTAGCTGTTAGGATATGTAATTACTCATCAAAATACTGTGATTTTGCTTTGTTTATTGCTATAAAGTTTATCGTCATTTTAATAAAAATATTAGTTTATGTAAGTTAATTTGTTACACGTTAAGGCCTAAGGGCCTTTTTTATCCATCTCGTGCTGGGCATTTGAATCCTCAGAACCAGCCCTGCCTGCGCCTCATCCGCTCGCCCCTCTTTTTCTCTATATCTGTCTCTCTTTTATTATTGGTCAAGATATCGGCTAATCAGTGATAAAACCAATCTTCTCTTAGTGGGTGGTTAATTTTTACTTTCAATTTTTATGCTTTTGGAGAATCTTATGTGGGTTTTGATGGTTTTTTGATGATTTAAATTGGCTTGATGAGCTTTTCGGTGTTTATTTTTGTTTTGTGTAGCAAGTTTTGTTATTTATTTAAGATATAAAAGCCAATTTATTTTGGTTTGTTTTGGGTGTGATTCACTTCTCTGTATACCGTCACTTCCCGATCCTCTTCAATGTTTCGAAAAATATGGTATGAAATTTATTTACGATTTTGCCCCCTGTAATTTATTCTTTTATTTATATAAAATATAGAACTTGTCGGTTTATATTATAAACAGGTAATGAAAGTACCATACGTTAGAGAAACCTCATTATTAATCTAATGAGATCTTGTAGAGATGGACATCAAGTGTATAGTCACCGGTAACTTTTTTACATTTCAATTATTAACATTTTTTAAAAAAACTTTTTGATTTCTATCTTTAAATTCCTTTTGTAGGTCAAGAATTTAATAATTGGTGCCATGATGAGAACCGTTCTTCCTTCATTTTTTTTCCTTCGTTGATGATTCCAAGATTGATTTTCTACCGTTGTGGTTTTTTACTGATATACCCTTTTCTTTCACGGACTCAATAGTGCAGCGGTTGTTGAAGCATATAACATGCTCCTAAATTTGGTAATTATTCTATTTTTAATAAAAAGGAGCAAACTTTTAGTTGATTATTATTGTTTTGTTTATAATCTTTACTCTTCAGGAATTGCTCATCTCTTCAAGGGTTCGGTTTTTTCATATCAACATTATCAATGGTTCCAAGCATACCCATTAAGCCAATGCTCACAAAGTATACACAAATATTACTCTTATTTTATTTATATAAAAAAACGTAAAAGAGTTACTCGGTTGATTGTTTACAATGTTTATGTTATAGGATTGCTAATGGGATGACTCCCTAAAGTCTTGAAGCTATTTTTTATGTATGAATTTCAGTTGGGGATCATTGATATGGAGTTTGAGCTGATTGATCCTGATAATCTATCAAATCAGATAAGAACACTAAAGTCAATT